GTTCACGGCCCCGCGCAGCGCCCGCACCGCCGCCATATTGGAGCGGCTGTGAGGGGGCGGCCGCGCATGCGCAGTTATAGCTGGGAGAGGGCCACGCCCAGTGACGCACTGACCACGCCCATGCACGCACTGACCACGCCCATCCACGCATGGGCTACGCCCACCGGCAGCGAGGGGCGGGGCCGGAGCTGTCCCAGGTCCTGAAAGGGAAAAGGGAAAGGGAAAGGGAAAGGGGAAAGGGAGAAGGAAAAGGAGAAGGAAAAGGAGAAGGAAAAGGAGAAGGAAAAGGAAAAGGAAAAGGAAAAGGAAAAGGAAAAGGAAAAGGAAAAGGAAAAGGAAAAGGAAAAGGAAAAGGAAAAGGGGAAAAGGGGAAAAGGAAATGGGGAAAAGGGGAAAAGAAGGAAAAGGAAAAGGAAAAGGAAAAGGAAAAGGGGAAAAGGGGAAAAGGAAATGGGGAAAAGGGGAAAAGGAAAAGGGGAAAAGGGGAAAAGGGGAAAAGGGGAAAAGGGGAAAAGGAAAAGGAAACATAATACGAAAAGGAAGATGAAGTTTAAAATGAAGGGAAAAGGAAAAGGTTAATGGATAAGAATAAAAAAAATCAAAAGTCAAAAGGGGAAAGGTATGAGGGAAAAGAGGAAGAGGAAAATGAGGAGAAGCAAACAATAAAAATAAAAAGACAAAAATATTTTAAAGAACAAGAGATGGAAAAAGAGTGAAAAAGGAAGGATAAAAATCAAAAGGAAGAAAAAGGGAAAGAAAGCCAGAAAGATGGAGGAGCGAGACAGAAGAATTGGGGTTTAAAATAAATCCCCTCCCTCCTGCTGGCTCAGAACTGGAAATATTTGGGGAAAACATCTGCAAAGAGATTTGGGTGATTCTGTGCTGATCGGGGAGCAACGAAGCAGAGAGAAACTGAACCCCCCAAGGAGGGAGCAAACGGAATCTGCGACTCCACAGAAAGGGCTGAATTAAGATAAAGAGGGGGGAAAAGGAAAGAAAAAGGGAAGGAGAATTTGGGTGTTTTCTCCCTCAGCAGATGGTGCTGCTGCACCGTTCATGCCCAGCCTCAGCTCCAGACATCGGGAAAGCAATTTCCAGCCCCGGCTGTTCAATTCTCCACTCCTGAAATCCATTTAAAGGCTTCAACTCCCGCTCTAATGCTCGCCCAGGGAATTCCCGGGCAGGGAATCTCATCTGCCGTTATTGGCGATGGTTTTGGGGCCAGGCAGGAGGCAGATAAATGGCCCCAGTGGCAGATTTATGTGCCAGAGGAGGAAAGGTGAATATATTTAGGATTTATTCCCTCTCCTTGCAGCAAATCTCCGTGTCCTGGATGAAGGATGGTGTCGGTTTGGGGTTTAAAAGGGAAATCACGGAGCCAAGTGTCAGAAGTTTAGGAAAACAGAAATGATGGAAGGAAAGAGAGTCCCCCTGGCAAAACCTCGCAGGGGTGGGGAGATTTTCCATCCAGCTCCTCCTGGAACCAGCCTGGCTGGGTCTTGGAATATCCCCTGGTCCCTGCAGGCAGGAAAAGAGCCAGAAAAAGCCATGGAGAGCACCCCATGGGCAGGAGGCAGCCCTGAGGGGAGGAGGGAACAGAACCTGTCAGTCCCAACATCCCCCAGAGCTCCAGAATCCTGGGCCAGGTGCCTCAATCCAGGCAGGAATCCCAATGCTCCAAAATCCCAGTGCTCCAAAATCCTGGTGCTCCAAAATCCCGATGCTCCAAAATCCTGGGCCAGGTGTCCCAGTCCAAGCAGGAATCCCAACGCTCCGGAGTCCTGGGCCAGGTGTCCCGATCCAGGCAGGAATCCCGGTGCTCAGGGAGGGATCAGCCCTGCTGGAAGCTGGCAGTCAGGATAACCATTCCTGCCCCCCTGGCCGCCCTCAGCCCACCCCTGCTGACGCACGGAGAGCCGCAGGACACTCGTGTGAGGTTCCCATCAAACCTGCAGGGCCCGGGGACACTCCTCTCCTCTCTGCAGGGACCGGGGACACTCCTCTCCTCTCTGCAGGGACCGGGGACACTCCTCTCCTCTCTGCAGGGACCGGGGACTCGACTCTCCTCTCCTCTCCTC